GAGGTATACCTCTGAAGGGAGGTTTTGGTTTAGTCCCCCTCTCTCTTTGTATCTCACATACTTTTAATAAAACACTGGCAAATGTCCCCCGACATTTGTCCCACTGATTTTGGTGGTTTGCTTTCCGGGGTAAAAAAAAAAGAACTCTACAACTACTACTTTGTACTCCGTATTAAACTATTCCGTCTCATTAACATTGGGATATGAGAGGATGACATGATTATTAAGATAATTGGATATATGTGATTGATAAAGTAGGAGTGATTTAGAATCATACAAATTTTACCAAATTTGATATGAGACAATATTAGTGAGACGAATAAAAAAGAAAAGATGAGATGATCAATTATAATGTTCTTACAATTTTTGTAAGGAAAGTGTTTGCTAAAATTCCTCAATCAAGTATCTTTCTACAATTATTTTTTCCATCCTTGATATTACATATTGAGATTAGGTAATAATAATGAGTTTTTTCCCAAAATACTGTTAAATAAATAAATATTTCCGAAAATAATGTTGAGTTAAAAGTATTTCCCAAAATACTGTTGGGATAACCGTAGTTAAAGAACCGCCACTTGAAGTGGCGGCTTATGACCAAAGAAAATTCGCACGCACAAAATCAGGAAGAATGAAAAGCTTAGTCAAGATTAAAGTATCATGTTTTTTTAAAATATCATGTTTTTTTTAAAGTAATATAACTTTTTTATTTGTAATAAACAATATATCAAAATTCATAACTTTTTATTATCTTTCATATGATACCAATATTGAATATATAAAAATAAAAAATTGATTTCATACATTAAAAATATATACTTTTTAAAAGTGTATATTCTTTTTTATTATATTTGTACTCAGATTTTTATATAAACTATATCAAAATTCATAACTTTTTATTATCTTTCATATGACACCAATATTGAATATATAAAAATTTAAAAAAATGACACTAAAAATATCTACTTTTATAAAGTGTTGTATATTTTTTATTTGTACTCCGATTATTATAAAAAACATATCAAAATTCATAAATCTTTATTATCTTTCATATGCTATAAGTGTTGCATATATACAATAAAAAATTAATCTATTATATTTTGCAGTTTAGGATCGTTTGTTATCGACATAATAATTTTTATTTTATATATGCAACATTGATATCATATGAAACTAATTCAAAGTTTATGAATTTTGATATATGTTTTGTAATAATCGGAGTACAAATAAAAAGATATAGGGCTCTAAGAGCCCATTTGGTAGCACGAAAATCGGCTGTTTTGGCTGGTTCTGCTGAAATTTATGAAGTTCTGGCTGAAGTGGTTGTATTGACTGATTCTGCCGATTTAAGAAAAAATTATATGTAAAAATAGCTAAAATGATCATCTACAGTAACTTCAGCCAATACAGTCAGAAAAGTAACTTCAATCTTACTTTTTCTGCTTATTACACAATTCAACGCGTGAAAGTAAAAGTTACATGTTTGGTGAAAAGTTGCTGATAAGCCTGATAAGCTGAAAACTAGTGTCGCCAAACGGCCTCTAAAAAGTAGATATTTTTAAAGTGTCAAATTATTTTTTTATTTTTATATATTCAATATTGGTGTCATATGAAAGATAATAAAAAGTTATGAATTTTGATATTTTTTTTATAACAATCGAAGTACAAATAAAAAAGTTATGTTACTTAAATATGATATTTTTAAAGTGACAAATTATTTTTTTTATTTTTATATATTCATTATTGATGTCATATGAATGATAATAAAAAGTTATAAATTTTGATATATTTTTTATAACAATCGGGATACAAATAAAAAAGTTATACCATTTTGAAAAAACTTGATATTTTGTTTGGTGATGGGACTTGACTCAACTTCTCTTGGTCCTGGCTTTGGCTTCGTGTGTGGGAATTGTTTTTACTTTTTAGTGATAAGCCGCCACTTCGAGTGGCGGTTCTTTAACTACGGTTAATTCAACATCATTTTAGGAAATACTTTTAATCCAATACTATTTTCGAAAATATTTATTTCTTCAACATTATTTTGAGAAAAAACTCAATAATAATATATCATCGTTGTTTCATCCTTTTTTCTTTGGTGAAATTATCATATAAATGTAATTCATGATGAAGTTATTTTGCAAAACCAAGACAAATGCTTCCTCAAATGAATTTGCAGCAATTAACTCCTCCCGCCGGTATGATAAAAAAAAAAACTCCTCCCACCGGTGAGTAAAGAAAGCGAACATTTTCTTTTGGTTTATTGGTTATCTCATCAGAATAGTACTGTAAATGCACATGGGTTTATAAAGTGAAGCAAGGCAACAAGAGCTCCCATTTTGGTTTCAGGATTAGAGTTTTCTGGGTGATGGATAGTGTACCCGGGGGTAGCTTATCCGAGGGGTTATTCGAGGAACAACCTAGAGAGAAGTCAGAGCAAACAAGTAAGAGAGAAAGCCAATTATATTAAATGAACTTGTTCTGGGATCCTTTACAAGAGAAATAAGGGCTGCTTATTTATAGCAACCATAAATGCGATGAGAGTACACGTGTCAACAATCTAACGGCCGAGGGGTCACCTCAATCGGGGTGGCACCGCACTCGCATGTGCACCACATTAAATGCGGTGGTTGGACGTGACGCCGCATTAAATGCGGTGGTTGCTTGTCTCCAAATGGAATCTTCGATGATTGACCTGTTAGCCGAAGGCTCCCCCGTAGCCTGGGGCTCTCTGTAGCCGAAGGCTTGGTATAGCCGAAGGCTACTTTTATGCCGAGGGCATGAAGTCCCTTGCCCTTGTTTTGGGGGGGGGGGGGGGGAGGGCAATCCTCGGCCCCCGAAACGGAACCTCCACTTTCCTGCGGCCTGCTGATCGCCTTGTCACCAAGGCAGTCTTGGATCCCTCGGCGTTCAGGAGCCCCCCCCCCCAATCTCTCGAGGGCAGAGGTTCGGGGCTTCTCCTTATTCGCGTAACGTTTGTCCTTGGACTGAGCCTCTTGGGAGGCGGTGTCCTGTGCCATGACCTCCTCGGCGTTGCCAACCCGCATGATGAGATTGTTGAACAGAGGAGGGGGGTGGCGGAAAATGGATAAAGTTTCCTTCGTATTGGGGTTGGAGTGGCGCTTGTGAAACGAAGGCCCCAGAATTCATCGCCATGTTTTGGACGAAGGCCGCGAAAGCGGCCTGAAGGTCGATGGTTGGAGTCAGAGGGGGAACTTGGTTCTCACTCCGATCCTTCCTTCGGCTATCAAGACCGATGCGGGCATCGGAGGCACCCTTCTGCAACTTTTGACGGAGGTCAGTAGCGGCCTGCTCCAATTCGAGGATAGTGCCGCCCTCGGGAACCAAGAGTCTGTTGGAGGCCTCGGCCCCGTTGACCTCTCTGAGGCCTAGGTTGTTTTCCTCGAGGGTTTTGGATTGATTGCGGGTTCTTCCCATTTTGGTAGGTGTTTTTGTTTGGTGAAGGGGAGAGTTTCTTACTTGATTGTTAGGACCTCTCAACGAGAGCATCAAATGATGGATAGTGTACCCGGGGGGTAGCTTATCCGAGGGGTTATTCGAGGAACAACCTAGAGAGAAGTCAGAGCAAGCGAGTAAGAAAGAGATAGCCAAGTATATTAAATGAACTTGTTCTGGGATCCTTTACAAGAGGAACTAGTATGTTACCCGTGTGATGCACGAGACAATATTATATTTCAGTCAACATTCTGATTTGTGTAATATGTTAATCAACACTTTGTTCGAATTTTAAAGTTTGCTACACTTTATTTTTCTGAATGTATTTAAAAAATTGCTAAACTTTCTCTCTTTGATTATATTCTTTGAAAAGTTATCTTACTTTTTCTACACTATTTATTATCCCTACTATTTCACCCTTAAATGATGTGCCCAAACCTTTCAAATACGGAGGAGTATTTATTAAAAAGTTTTACTTTAACTTGTGTAAAATAATAATTTTGAATATGACTATTTTAACCTTATAAGAATGAATAGTAGTTTTTAATAATCTAAAAAGTATGTGTATTTTAATCTTATAAAATGAATAATAGTTTTTAATAATCTAAAAACTGCACTTGTATTTTAATCTTATAAGTGCATGCATTATAAGTGCATTAGTGCATACCTGTAATATTACTTCACATGGACTGGTGGATAATCAAAGCTTCAAACCCAACAAATGCTAGAATTATTAATGTCATTGATATAACGATCAAATCACACATGCATGTGTGAACGTGATTGTAAAATCAAAATATTCAAAGCAATTTGATTTGAATAAGACAATGGAAGTAACAACCACAATAAGGGCAGTAGTGCTACGGAGAACAAATAATTGTTTTCAAGGATCGGAGGAATTAAAAAACAGTTAAATGAAGCATCGGTTTGTAAACTATGTGATGGTCTGTCCAACGGTTACCAAACTTAGAAATCAGTAATAACCGGTTAATGAACAGATGGGAACCGATGCCAAATTTTCAGTCTAAATGTATTCTTTTGGTTTATACTGCTAACACTCTATCACACTTGAGAAAGTACACTACAAAAAAAGGCGCGATTGGCACGGAATTTGGCACGGACTTATCAATTTTTCGTGCCAAATAGCTCGTGCCAAAGTGTTTTTGGCACGGATTTGGCGTATCCCTGCCAAAATCCGTGCCAAATCCGTGCCAAATTCCCTGCCAATCCCGTGTTTTTTTGGTAGTGGTACCAACATAAAAAATACCAAAGTGCATTTTTTAATAACTAATGTCAAAACAGGGGGTAAAGAGGAAAGGGCCAGGCGTGCTCAATCTCAATTGAAGTCATTATTTACAACCGACTAAAAAGAAGTCAGGTCATATATTAAGAATTCTACCTAGTTTTGGTAATATGTGGGTAAATTTCCCATGATTCATTGGGCTGACCAATGGGCTCGGTTTCATTCAAGTATTTTCCATTTACTTTACTTATATTTAATTAATGCATGGAGAATATTTGAATTTTGAACAACATAATACTACGTATGAGATAAACATGGCCATAACATAGAAATATGCTTAAATCAAATCAAAATACAGTAATTATATATAAGGGGAAAAGAAATTATAATACATATGATAAGACAATATACGTTGTGCATCAATCGAGAGATGGTTGGTTAAGTTTCCCCGCGCCGGCCAACACTGCTAGTAGATATAAATAGTTGGAATCCGCATTCCATTTATTGTGAACTGTGATGAAGTGCATAATTACTATAACAATGACCCCACCTAAGAGCCATATATTATATGTGGATTATGGTTTTATTCCGACACACACCATAACAATTCCTCAAGAGTATTAAACACGTACCACTTAATAGTAATTATACGTGTATAATTACTATAACAATGACTCCACCTAAGAGCCATTACGGATGATGGTTTTATTTCGACACACAACATATATATATATACCATAGGATACCATAGCTAGTTAGTACTAGCTAGCAGCTAGCTTGTCCCCGTATCGCAATCCTTGGCGCAACCGCTGCCATGGCAAGACGTGGTACAGTCCTTACAATCAGTTGTCCATTCTGCTCTTTTTGATGAAATTACAACTTCATTCTGAATCCCATTTCCCTCTGCATCATCGTCTTCGGATGACCACTTGTCTTCATCATAATTATAACGACCTTCTTCCACTCTTAGAATGTTATAGAATAGGAAAGCAATTACCATTCCGGGCATAAGCAACCACTCCTCTTTCACCTATATTATATTGAACACGTGCACACGGTGGATAGCTATTTATATCTAATGTTTAATCATGCATCATCAAGCAAAAAAAAAAAACTAACAAAAGAAAATAGGAAACCATATGCTAACACACAGAAACACACATACAGGGAGCGGTTCTAGTGATAAAGGACTCCCATGAGAGAATTGAGAATGAATCTTGATTTGGATTGTATTATGTGAAACTGAATTGTGCAATTAGTGAAATTGAAATGTCTATTATGTTAAATTAAAATGTGCATAATAAAAGGTAACACTGAAATGTGCATAAGGTGAAATAGCAATTTGCATATTAGGGTACAAAAATGCCACCACATCTTACTTTTTATTCTGCACATTAAGTTGAACCTAATTAATTCACATTTCAGTTTCACCTGTTACACAATTCAGCTTCACATAATGTTACTATGTTGTACTCTTTGTGTTGCACATTTCAATTTCACTTCATGCACACTTCAGTTTCACCTAATGCACATTCAACTTCACATTATATAATCTAGCGGTCTATATATATACATGATTATTCATGTTCGGAATTTCCGGACAGGAGCTCCGTCCTGCCTCCTCCATTTAGGGCGGTTCCCGGTGATATTTTTTGCTGAATTTGTTTTTTTGTATGTTCGATCTTCATCAAATCCAGTTTATCCATACCAAATTTCAGCTAAAAATTCAATCGGGAAGGAAGTCAAATCATTTTTGGAAGTTAATAACGTTTTATATGTATATAAAGTGCGCAGTTAACTTTCAAAAATCATTTGACTGCCTTCCCGATTGAATTTTTAGCTAAAATTTGGTATGGATAAACTAGACTTGATGAAGAATATGCACAAAACATTTGAGCAAAAAATACCACCAGGAACCACCCCAGAAGAAGGAGGCCGGACGGCGCTCCGGTCAGGAAATCCCTGACCGGAAGATCTCTCTCTCTCTCTCTCTCTCCTCTCTCTCTCTCTCTCTCTCTCTCTCTCTCTCTCTCTCTCTCTCTCTCTCTCTCGGTAAGAATGGACTCCCAAGAGAGAAATAAGAATGAATCTGGACCGTTAGATTGTATTATGTAGAACGGAAATGTGCATTAGATAATATTGAAATGTGCAGAATAAAATTTTAAACTTAAGTGTGCTGTGTGCATTAGGTGAAACTGAAATGTGCGGAATAAAATGTACAAAAATAACATCACTTCATATCTTTTATTCTGCACATTTCAGTTTCACATAGTGCACATTTTAATTTTATCTAATGCACAATTCAGCTTCACATAGTGTCATTGTATCAAACCCTTTGTGCTGGATATTTCAATTTCACATAATGCACATTATAGTTTCATCTAATTCACATCGAATTTCACTTAAAGCAAATTTAACGGTCCAGATTTATTTTCATTTCTCTCCTAAGATCATGTTATTATTTGAACCAAATGCGGTATGCAAGTACACATGCAAGTAATTTTTTGTTTACGTACGTACATTAACAATGCCAACTTTCAAGTCGACCATTGCCACTGCTTTGCCATATGGGTATTCAACCGAGAATTCTACAGCAGTCATGATCTCATTTTCACTTGTTTCTTTCTCACCATTCTTGGGGTGATGATAATAATCAAGCCTCCGACCCTGGAAGTACTTAACCTGTTCCATGAAATAAGTGTCATTCAGATCACTGTCATTTGAAATTCTATTTTTAAAAATTTGTATGGTGAATTACAATATAAAAAAGTGCACTAAATAATAAAACTATTGTGAACTATTATGATTTAGTACTATAAGATGTAATGATAAATGAATGTCTAAAATAAAGAATGTAACTGACAAATAAATATGACTCACGCCACTTAAAGTGAAAATTAGGGGTGAACATGGTTCGGGTAATTGATAAATTTTTTAGAACTGCCGGTTTCATTAAATGGTTAGGTTTGATCTGAGTATGCCAAATCTCAAAATAGGAACCGGATCTTATCCGGCCGTTTGAAATGGGCCGCGCGGTTCCGTTCGAGTTCTCGGATTTTTTTTTGCAAAACAAAAATACATCTATGCTAGCAAAGTATCTAGTAAGTTATAAAATTCTCAAACTAATTAAGTGTCAATGTCACAAATTAAATATCTAATGATAAGTCTATAAATTAAATAGCACACAACCACCCAGAATAAATAATACCAAATTTTTAAATGTTGAGATTTAGATATCATCATCGATAAACTAAAAAGATAGAACTATAAACTAGTAAGAAATTAAACTAGTTACTATACATATTTGTCTATGAAAACAATTTAAAACTTATTTAATCTCAAAATATAAGTAAAATTAAGATAATTAAATGAATATGTCACACTTCATTGAGTATGTGTCTCTATTGACAACAAAAAAAACTTGATGTATTTGGAATAAAGAATTGAGGAAGAATTTATATGGACTTTGAAACTTTTTTTTAATAGATTGACAAATTTATTTAATTGAGAGTCTTTGTCTAGACACAAAAAATGAAGATCTTATGTGTTTTAATATATTATGTTAAATATAATAGATTTTATTAAAATAATATTATAAATGGTTCGGTTACCCATTTTTTCATATTTTAGGAACCGTTCGATTCCTAAGTTTTTTAAGACTCACCTCGCCCCGAACTAAACCGTTTGAGTTTTCTAAATTTATGACCCGCCCCGAACCTATATTATCCGGCCCGACCCGCGATTCTTGTACCCGTTTGTCCACCCCTAGTGAAAATGGATGTGTTTTGTGTGATTATAATCTATCATCATAACAAAGTTTACATAATCATACCTTGCACTGCCTACTATTATCATTTTTTAATTTTTTCAATCAATATTTTTATTTATGAATTTTAGTTTGAAGATGTCATATTATGATTGATGGTCATGCAGTTATATTTCTCCACATAATTTTTGATATATAATATCAAACTCTCTCTGTCCCTGAATGAAGTTTTCTGTTTGACCTACACATACATATTAATGTAAGGTAAAATTTTGTTTTGACTTTCCTAGTATATCCTTACTTTATGTCAAATCAAGCAAAAAGTAGGCAAAAGGTAAGAGTAGTGTTAATATTCTAAGAGGTAGTTGTGAATTTTTTCTTACAAGTGGATTCCTTTTATAGAAATAAGAACTTCTTTTTGCGACATCTATAAAGAGAAAGTGAAAACTTGTTATCGGGACAAAAGAAATATGAAATTGCAACAGTTTAAAGAAAAAATAATACAAATATAACCACTTTAAACCCCACTGACAAAAATATGACTTCTTGCCCTACCTTACTCCCATGTTGTACAACGTGTTCCTAAGCATTTCATTAGTCAGCTTTTTGTAACTCCAAATAATATTGATAATATTAATGTAAAAAACTCTTTAAAGAATCCTTTTGTCCATTAAAACTTGACTAAGTTTGATCGGCACAGAGAATAATAAAGTAAAAACTGCGTGACTGGGGTTTGGGTAGGGGAGATGTAATTAACAAGAAGCACAAATTCTTTAATAAACTATCAAATAAGCCCTCGTACTATGCTAGAAAAATCAATTAGGCCCTTGTACTTTAGAAACACCCAATTAAAACCCGAACTTTGAAAAAATGTTCAATTAAGTACTTTAGCAGGTAAAGGACCGGTGTCTCCGGTTAATTGCACATGTGGCACACGAGGGCTTATTTGACAGCATAGTACCAAAAAAATTAAGTGGCAAAATTAATGAGACAATTTAAAAGGAAAAATTGGCAAAATTTTAAAGGAGAGAGGAGTAGATACTCTGATCCCTTCTTTCCACAAAAGTTGACAACATATGACTTGCACATTGAATAATAAAGTAAAAACTATTAGGTTGAAATTTATGTAAAAGAGAGAGAAACTACTTTAATTTAACCATTCTTAAATTTATTGCTAGAATCAATTTTTTTAGAAGCTGGGGGTGTTTGGATCTGATTCTTAAAACTGTTTCTGCTCCTTCAGAGAGCAGAAGCAGAAGCTGGAGTGTTTGGATTAAAGTGCAGAAGTGATTCTGATACTCAAATTTACTCCTAGAATCAGTTTTTTTAGAAGCTGAGGGTGACCGGCTTCTGAAAACTGATTATGATTTTGCTTCTGCTTTAAAAAAGAAGCAGAAGCAGAATCAGTTACAAACACCCCTTACTTATATGAAATTGGCAAACTTTTTTGAAAGGATAAATATCTGTCAGACTGTCAATGTAATGCAGATAAATAATTTAATTACTAAGACATTTAAATATGAACAAGGTAAATAATAACACCACGTAACAACGAAAACAACACCAGCGATTATAACAACAAAAGCATCATGCAACAACCAATTTGATAAATAGCATTAATACAACCAACAATAATATCAATGATTCAGGCAATGTCCAATAGAAATAAACTATCAGCCATTTATCATAATGCAATGGAATACTCCTTTTCTCCTTGAAAATTATCTAAACTTTCAATTATTACCTCTAGGAATTTGGACTGTTTTTTTCCTTCTAAAGCAACATGCATGGGGATTTTGAGACTTATTCACAAAACCGTGAGATATGGTAGAAATTAAACATAGTTCTGTTCACTTGTTATGCCGTAGTGTTGAAGTATCACTCACACGATACCCTCTTACGTTAGAAGAGTGTATGAAGGAGCGTGATTTGTGTGTAATTTCCGATTGTATTTGTACGTTTTTAATTAGTTTTGTGATTCGCTAGTTTGGAAATTACATACTTTTGGTGTAATGTTTTGTTTCATTTAAATTGGTGTAAATTGTTTGGATTAGGATTTTTCTGAGCATAGAACATGTTGAATGCCTCAAAGGATCAATAAGTGGATTCCAAAGACCAAAGAATGTGCAAAGGAACAAGATCAAAAATAGATTTGAAAAATAGTTCATATACCCGGTCGGGTATATGCAATACCCGATCGGGTATTGATCCGATTTCAGTGTCAAAATCAAATCCAGGAAAACAAAGGATCGTGGGAAAATAATATTTGAAGATCCGGTCTCATACCCGATCGGGTAGACCGACACACCCGATCGGGTATGAATGATGTTTTTCACGTTCTCGGAAGCTGCTGATCGAGTACCCGACCGGGTACCCTAAACACCCGGTCGGGTACATGATCCTGCCACCTTCATTTCCCTATAATACACCTCTTTTCCTTCACATTAATGCACTCCTTCTTCCATACTCTTAAGCTCAACTTAGAATAGTATTTCTTTTATATTTTTATAGCATGTTTAGTCTCCAAATGAGGAGCTAAACTTCCATTTCTTGGTGTTGCTCTTGAAGCTTGTTGATTATTAAAGTTGTGAGTTATTTTTTTAACTTCTTTCCTAAATACTATTTCTATATCAATTCTTCCTTTAAATACTATTTCTATATCAATGTTGGGGAGTGTTGCATGCTAAGATGACAATTAGTTAACATCTTGACATTAGTTATAGTAATAGTTATTTCTTCCTCTATGTTAATATTGGGGAGTGTTACTAAGATGACAATTAGTTAACATCTTGATATTAACTATAGTAGGATTTATCTTCTTTAACATTCTTCCTTGAGTATTAATTAATTCCTATTCATATTTCATATTAATATTTTGAACATTACTTAAAGGATCAACTAGTTTTGTTTCATATATTAATTTTTACTAGAAACGATCAACGAACCGATGGTTAATCGTTGATGGTTTCACAAGTAAGTAACTTCGGTTTATTAATGCACGGTCGTGGTTAATAAACTTAAGAGAGATTAATTTTGTTGGTTAAACCGAAACCGTTGTGTTGAGGTTATCAATCTCAATTGATTTTATCAAGGAGTTAAGAGATTAAATGCTACTATCAAGTCGGTATATGGCGGTGTTATATACTTGACTAATAGTAAGGGTTATTAATGAAAAGTCGTTGTTAATAACTACCCTCGATGAATTGGATATACTCCTCGATTGAGTATTCGAGAGGGGATAAGTTATAGATATAACAATGATCGACTAAATACATCAACAAGTGGAAGGTAGCAATGCCAAGTCCTTTTTATCTTTGAATTAAATCACATATAAGTTGTTCATCTTTGTTTTTAATTAAATTAAATCATTCAATCCTAAACCCCCCCTTTTATTTACTAGTTTTATAAAAAGGGAATTATTTCCTTTCCCTGTGGATACGAACTCTACGACGCTATACTACATATAAGTGTTAGTATTGAATTTATTTTGACGCACCGTGACAAAGTGCCTGTCAGAGCGTAACTACATGTAAAAACAGTACTGTTTGGTGTAATTAACGTTATATTCTTATGTAACTGATGTGTGATGTTAGTTATTTTTTATATAAATGATGCATTTTATAAATGTGACAACTCCGGTACTCATTTAAAAAAAGGGGTACCGTATCTACCACTCACATGATTGGTCCAAATCATTATATCATTTTTAATTTAAATTTAAATAATTCAACTGCAATATTCTGATTGGTCCAAGTGGTCAAATGTATGGTACCTTTTGGGTACCATAGAATCTACCTTTTATAAATTAATGTAAGTGATATTAACACAGATAAAAAGCTAATCATTAGACTTCATATAAAATGTAAACCATGTGTGAAAAGTATCTTTGATATAATTTTGTGTAAGTGCAACACTGTCTGTGTCAATACAAAAGTTCTTTCTTTAGTGTAAATGATTCACAAAATATTCTAAACTGTGTATGAAAAATAGCAAGTGTGATTAATTTTGTATATATATAATACTCCCTCCGTCCCAAATTGTTTTGTAAAGTCAACATTTTTTGGTCAACCAATAATAAAAAAGATGAATTTTATCAATTCAGGACCCGAAAGATCGATGAATTATCAATTTAGGACCTGAAAGATGAAATGCATCGATATAGGACCCCGAATAATGAAAAACTATCAATTTGGGACCCGAATGATCGAAAACTATCAATCTAGGACCTAAGTTGTCATAAATTTTATTATTATTTGTATTTTAAATATTTTAAATATTATTTAGTTTTATTAAACTAATAAACTTTTGTGGAAAAAATTTATCAAAAATTAGTAATGGAATTAATAAAAAAATTAAATAAATCAAAACCTATGAAATTTTAGGTCCTAAATTGATAGTTTTCCATCATTCGGGCCCTATACCGATACATTTCATCTTTCGGGTGCTGAATTGATAATTAATATATCTTCCAGATCCTAAATTGATAAAATTCAGGATCATCACCGGGAAAAGAAAAACCATAATAATCGTTTTGGGGAATTCCTAGTGTCGTATCTATCATTCATTTGATTGATTCATCATATCAGTGCATGATATCACTTTTGATTTTCATTTAAATAATTCAACAATATTGTTTTGATTGATCCATGTGGGCAAATGTATGATACCTTAAGGGTAGCATATAATCCACCATTAACTAATTAAAGAAGCTATGCATTAAATGGTTGCTCACCATTCGCGAAGCACTGGTCAACTGCAAAAGGTGACCATCATCTTTATCATCATCTATAGCTTTTGGAAAATAGATGGACCACTCAACATTTGTCAGTGACCATTCTGTGCCTCTCAACTCAGCCAAAGTGCATCTTTCTCCATATTTAGTAAGAGCAATGACTTGTCCCTTTAACAATGAATCTGACTTTTCCATAGGTTCACTGAATAATGTGCATAAAGAAAAATAAATTAAACCGCATAAGTATATACCTATATTATACGAAACGAATAATGAAATATTAATATCAATTAAGAAGGGTCATGTTATATTGATCCCTAGCTAGGGTTTCAAAAATAACTGGAATATATGTGTGTATGTATGTACCTAAATTGCAGGCTTATGATCTCATCTCCAACTACATCTGTGACACGTGTCCAATTATGCTCCTTCGCAATAGTGGGAGGGAAAAGGGAACAATTTCTTATTGATGAGTGTGATGGTGGCTGTGGGGAAGCAGGAATCATGTGAAGAACATATGGTGCTTTAGTTGGTATGGTAACTGAAATGGCAATTCTTAAGAAGATGGGCTTTGAGATAGAGCTATTAGAGCTTAGAGTTTCTAACTCAAACCATTTCTCTAAAAAGAGGCTATTATTATTACTATTTGAAGTTGTGCTTAACAACTCTCCCACAGAGACAGAAAAAGAACCCATAGTTTTCACATGAAGAGGTTCATGAGATAGTGGGAGACTATCATTGTGTGATTCGCTCATGAGTTGAAACATCAAACTCCCACTAGGCTCACATTGAAAGTAAGCAACCTGTTTTTCTTCACTAATGTCACCAGCTGGCGGTGATGATGAAACGTTAAGTCTTCCCTTGGGCTTAATGATTCGATCAGGTTGTTCCTTACCAAACGTCAGAAACAGACTTCTTCTATGCTCCTCCTCTGCAGGTACATTCCTTAAACCTACAAACTCCAACATTACCTGCAATGTGTGATAATATAAGTTACAACTGACATATATAAACAACTTTGAGGCGTGTACGAGTGCATGTGGGTGAAATGTGGAAACCACACAGTAACTATTGGTATTGATGCATTTTCATACATCAACTATATGTTGATCGAGTGAAGCAAACTAATTGGCATCTGAAATACATTTAATTGGTCCATGATACCATTTTGATATTTCGGCCTAAACAATTACAAGAAATTGTCTTATAAATGAGAGTAAAAATATTTTGGAAGCCGGCAGGCATAGCTGAGCTGGTGCTTGGTGGGAAGAGTGTGCCACAAGGGCGAGGCCCCAAGTTCAATTTAAAGAAAAGAATCTAAGCTAGAACTCTGTTCTCTCTGCATCAGTTTGTGATCAAAGCTCAATTTACATACTCCCACATAACTATAATGTCTTGTCGGTCCTTGGGGCCAGGCCTCAGTAATTTTAAAGTAGAAGCACTATATTTTTATTCCAAATTAATAAAGGCATCGCGAGTCATGTGCAACTCAAATATGTTGGAATGACTGGATTAACTACAGACTTGGTTTATTTCTTAATTAGTGGGACTGCTAGAAACCTGAACAAATCAATCGTGGTGTATGAATTAATAATTAATTTCATATAAATATTTAGGGAAAGTAAATTAGGCGAAATTTGAAGTTACGTTGTACTACCATGAAGTGAAATATTTCAACATCATTGGGCACTGTTTTGTTTCATAAGTAATTATCCTAAATGGAAGTAAAACATGGAGAAAGTTCCAAAATAGGAGTACGTTGTTATTAATTAATTCCTGGAATAGGAGTATTTAGTTGACCGGCCCGTTTTCTTTGCCAATTTTACCCTTCTTCACAAATTATTTTGTTTTATTCTACCAGATTCTTTTCCTTTCTTCACGCAACCTATTTTCAACCCTATCCTCTCTCTATCTTCACCGAATCCTCTCCCTTCTCTCATCTCTTTCCTCTAGCATTTCTTTCCCTTACCAGTCTTTTTCCATCTCCCACTTCTCCATCTAGGTTAGAACGCTGAATATTTCTCACCAACTCCGGTCACCGGCGACGCCGCGACGGCGGTAATCATAGAGGTAAGTTTTGATTTTATTCTCCTTCTCTTCCTTCATCTCTTCATCTCATTCTTCTTCTCTTTCTTCTGTCTTCTCTTATTTTGCTTGGAGGCATAGCCTCGGTTTTTGGAGCTTGAAGCAGTTGCTCAATTATCAAACAATCAAAATGATAACATCGGGCTTTTTTATTTGATTTTTTCCCCACTTTCTCCCCTGTTTTGAGATCTGTTTTTTTTTGTTGATTTCCTTTTTCCATTTTTTTGTTTTGTCGTTCAATTTTGTTTCATCTTTTGTTCTTTTGACATTTTTATTTATATTTTACAATACATATTGCAATTTTTTACATTGGATTCCATTCAGTATTTTTGTAATTTCGAGATTATTTTTTGGTTTGAATGTAAAATTACCATCATCACTATGCCTTCTCCTCCTTTAATTTTCTTTCAATTTTTCTTCCAACTTTTTTTTTTTTTAACTTTTTATTTTCATATCAATCAATTTTTTATATTCTTCAAATTAGTTTTATATGATTTGAATTCCAAATGTCCATAATTGCTTTTAAATTTAGACATTGAAATGGAAATATTACTCTTTTGCAAATAATGTCATGTTTGTGTACGTTAACATATTATTTTGACATTTATTGTCATTTTTATGGTACTAAATCTTTCTAGATGGAAAAACAAGACCAATAATGCCATATTTCTTTCATATCTAAAAAACGTAATTTTTGCACATAGTGCCATTTTATGGCACAAACTATGTAGTGATGGCAATATTATTTCCCCTGCAAATCTAACATTATTTAGTGTCAATAAAAGGATACTAACATTCATATCTTTTTTTATTATATAAATTGTTAAATTCTATTTAAAATGATTTTCAAATGGTGAGGTGGTATTATAATTCATTTTTTTTCACATTTGAAAGTTGTGATAGTGGATCCAAACATGGTAGTGGTTCCACAAGAGGTGTGGCGCCGAACAAGGGAGTAGAATGGGATCCGGCAGCGGCAACGGCAGCTGTGATGTAGATGCAGGCGTTGATGACTGACCAACAGCGGCCGGCGATTGGTGGCGGAGGCACCTGGCAGCTGCGATGCCGGCAAAAATGAGGACATCGATGGAGATTGCGGCAGCGGCGGCGCCTGACGGCGGCGGCAAGGGACGACTAGTGGCAGTGACTGGCGGTGCAGGTCCTGCCCCTGGTGGTGCCGGCGTCAACTTATGGTTGGGGTGGTCATGAGGAGAAAATAAGTTGTTGACTTTTGTAGTGCATTAATTAACTTAGTTTTCATTAAGTGCATTCTTGTCTCTTACTATTAATTTCCTTATGACAGACTACATATGAGATAGGAGTGCTACTTTTGCATATTTGCAGCGGCGGACGCAGGATTTCCCGATAGCAGGGGCGGCAGTAGAAGAATATACATACAAATACATATATATTAAAAATTTCGGGGTAAATATACCTAGAATTTTTTGTTTTCGGAGGGGCGGCAGCCCCTCATTGCCCCCCTTTGTGTCCGCCGCTGCATATTTGATATGTTTTACTCCTAAATTGGGATACGAAAGTGTGACACTATCATTAATTATGGTATATCATTTATGTGTTATACATGGGAATGTCATTGTGATATGAAGTAGTTCGAGCAGCATTGATTAAATTAAACTAACTACTATAGATAGAGAAAATGGTGGACAAACCTCTAGACTCTTTGTTTCAGGAAGATGCAATAATGTTTGATCCTTATCATGGCTGGCCACAACTCCCTTGGTGTTTGTAAATGCAGGTGCACTGATGGGGTTAAACAAGTGTGAGAGAGGTAACGGCGGTGGGTTGGGCCGATACACTGCACCCGCTCTCCAATATCTACATCCGTATTTTTCTTCCCAACACCGGGTGGTGTTGGAGAAGCCTATGTCCAACTTACTCCCTTTTGTTCTGTCCGAGTCGCTGTCATCGTGTCCCACAACCCTTCCAAGTAGTCCTCTTAGGTCTTTGCAGTAGGAAATGGGATGCAGTTGATGAGTGTGCCAGATTAGATCGATGTCGTAAGTTGGTACACAGTTTAGTGGTTTGTTTCTTTTGATTAGATGCAAGAACCCTTTGTATCTTGACACAGCCCCTTCAAGGTAAAGTTCATTGTACATATGAGGTCTTGATACCTGCATCAAGTCAATAATTATATATGGGAATCAGGGCATGTATACTTTTAGTTTTGGGTTCTTTAACTCATTTCAAACAATATATACTCTTTGTCACAATAGACTTTCCACGTAGTTTAAGATAATGTTATAGGTTTATTGTGGACTTTTTATAGCTATTGTAGGGATAGATTTATTTCTGAAAATGAAAATGTGAAAATAAATTTTATACGACCAAAAAAGAAATATGTGACACTTATAGTGGTACACAAGGAGTATACATATACCATATTTATAGCTTCGCAAGTTCTTATGATATTGTTACCTTGTTAAAAAAAGAACTTTGCCTCTTCACGGCTGAAACCAAATCATAGTCGGTGTGGCTGAGCTTCATGTGCTGATCAGACGACGCCTTTGAAGGGTCAACATCATCATGAGCAAGAACTGATGTGGCTAAGTCCAAGTCAAATGGTTCACTTGGAAACAATTGTTTCCACAATTTCTCTGTTTCCCCTTTGGGTGCTCCTTTGGTAGAAGAGACCACATGTTGGTTATCAAGAATGGTTCCAAACAACGCCTTGCAGTCAGAATTGTACCGAAGCTGCGAATTATCATTGTCGATGCACATATTATTTGAATAATTAAGCTGTATTAGCTAGAGCACACAACTGGTACCCAAACTTAATTAAGTGGATAATTAAAAAGAGAGTAAGTCTTGGTGTACACGTTTTTATACCCATCAGTACACGCATGTGTCTGTGAGAGTTATTTTTTATCTGTGAAGCGCAGTCCACAGACAAAAGCTGGTTTGTTTTGTCTATGGAAAATTTCACAGACAAAACGAGTCAACTTATGTCTGTGTACTGCGTTTCACAGACAAAAAAATACTCTCACAGACACATGCGTGTACTAATAGGTATAAAAACGTGTACAAAAAGAAATATCCTTAAAAAGAAACTGAAAGTACTACGACGTAATACATATGTGTGTGTGTGTTTGTTTCTTGAATGGTCAAATAGTGGCTATGAGGGACCTACTGGATTGAGCCTGTGGCAGTGCCAAACCCATTCACAATCAAGAGGAACTACTATAGGTCCTCCAAAGAAGGGCGACTTCGAATGTTTTGCCAACAATGGGAGCCAATATGAATTGTACCTAAAACGTATCACCCTGCTATTAATGATCTACAAATTGGAAAACAATATTCTGAAACTAAGCAAATCTTAAAATATATAGCTTAGATAATGGAAAGAAAAGACTTTGCATTAAATAACGTACCTCTACATCATATGAAAATAATATGAAAAAATATGAAATTATGTCAATATAAACTTCTGTATGTTGTGTTTTATTTTACCCACTTCAGATACTTGACTATCGTTTCGTGTTCATCTATGACCCCTCCAACCAATCAGTCTTTGGCACCTGATTTATAGTGCCAAAGATATCGTCAGAAGATTAATCATAGATGAGCAAAAAACAATACTCATCTACAGAAAGTAATTGCAACCAAAGTCATGAATAAAATGTAATCAGTGATGTAAGTTGGACGGAATATTGAGGTGGATTAGTACAAAAAAAAAATTTCAGATAATTATATACACAAATTTTACCCTTACATTTGTGATGAGTTGGGGCCTATGTTGCCCACTCCAACTACTTCTTTGAATGTAATACGCACACCCCTAACTCAATTGCGAGGTACTCATGAATTTTATAAGGCTACTCTACAAAACTAAAAAACAGTTCATCAATTTTAAAGATTTCAAAATATTCTATTGATCTTAAGTATTTACATTACTTTGAAATGGTAATTACTGAAGAATGGCCTAAGATCGCACCCTATACTGAAGAACAGTTCTAATTCATATCAGAATTAATGAATGAAACAAGCGAAAAAATATTCACCCTCCTCACAGAATTTGGCCAAGTTTGATCTACACATGGAATAATAAAGTAAAAGTTGTATCATCGAGATTTGTACGTAAAAGAGAAAATAACTATAATAATATAGTATTTCAACCATGCATTGCACCATGATGAAAACAGCTAATATGTGGAATATAATACTACGCAATATAGTATTGCAAATGGTTAAAGTTACATAACCAATAATATAACAGCTAAAAGTCAGAAGACTAAAATCGCAAGTATCCCTTATAAACACTATAAATTTTATTTGAAAATTCATTAGGCCTGGGACCGGTTCGGTTCCTAGGCAAAATATGTGGAACCGTTTGAAAATATGAAATTTTACTAACGGTTCGGTTCTTATAAATTATTTTAAAGAACCGATAAGGAACCGAACCGTTCTTAACGGTTCGGTTCTTGTCATTTACCGGTTCTTAGTCTTTGAAAAAATTCTTACAAATCACGATTAAATTTTTGCCAAAAAGACATTCAACGTTGGAAATCTCAATACATATATGTTGAACCAGTTAAAGAGAATAATAATTTTAAATACTCTAGACCTTCCGAGTTCCGACCAGCTGGAGTTTGGACCTAATGAGAGGCCTAAGAAGCCTAAGAGAACCGGTTGAAATAAATAATAGTTTTAAATAGTTAAATAACTAAACTAAAATAATGAATATAATATAAAAATAAATAAGTAAATATACATTGCAATATATATTCATAAAAAATATATTTAATTTTAATTATTATATATAACGGTTCCTTAACGGTTCCTGATACATATTTTTTTCAGGAACCGAGAACCGAACCGTTAATAAAAATTAGGAACCGAACCGTTAACAAATAACTAATAAATGTTGGAACCGAACCGAACCGGGTCATAACGGTTCGGTCCGGTTCGGTTCTCCGGTTCTTGGTTCCAAAGTCCCAGCCCTAAAATTCATATCCCATTTTTAATAAATGGTGATGATGACGAAATGTGCAAAAATGCACAATAAAAGTCATTTTTTCTACACTACGATTACTAGCTTCTTCTCTACTATTCTAATTGCAATTTTTGAGGATTCGAGATGTCAACCATACGTATATTCTGATATTCACCTGATCACCTCTCTTAGTCACTATAGTAGTAAATTAATAACTCTAAGGGTCCCTAACTCTAAAATAAGTGAAACTCTGAAGCTCTACATACATCTATTAAACTGAATACAAAAATCAAAAGTGTGCTTGAGAAATAATCACATGATTTATATTTGATCTATTTTTATTATTATTATATACAGAGTATATATGTATATATGATCTGGTCTCATTGAGAGCACTTCTTTCTATGCAGTGGCGGATCTAGACATCAGAGGTCAGTGTATGCACATACGGAGTACATAATAATACCAGTAATATACTCCGTATTATACTCTGTATGAATTTAGTATTACGATAACAAGGGTAAAAAATAAGTATATGTATCTACTTCCACCATCCCAAATGGATTGAAATTTGTGATTTTTCAAATTATATGTGCGGATAGTTAAATCATTTTTATAAATAAAATTTACATATAAATTGGAAGTTCCATAAAGTCACATAGCTGAAATTGAGATATGGTAAAAAATTGACTTTGCAAATTAATCATTTTGGAAGGGAAAAAGAGTAAAACTACACTTCCTGGTTTACACACTACCAAATTGAAGTACGTAGTAGTACATAATACAACTTGCATTTACATTTATATTAATCATGTTTTTACTTGGACTATAATTTGTCTCAGATCAGATCGGATCAGACCAGACTAAACTTGGATAATTATAAAAAAACAAAGAAACCAGACCAGACTAGATCAGAAAATTACAATCCAAGTAAAAACATTCTTAACAACAATAATAACAAGTTATAGTAAATTAATACTCCGTAATAACTACTACTAGTATGTATAATCTTTAATAGGAAGTTAACAACAATAATTAATAACAAGTTATAGTAAATTAATACTCCGTAATAACTACTATGTATAATCTTTAATAGGAAGTTAGTCTTTAATAACAATAAACCTTTAATTTTTTTTAGTAAAAATAAACCTTTGATTATAATACAGCATTAATTAGGAGTGAAATTGTTTCTTTTATAAACATGGGGCGAACTGCCGAACTTGGACGTGAATCACTTCAAAAGTTCAAAAAAGAGGGTGTAGCCTTACCAGGTTTCGAACCCCTAACGTGAAGCATAATAAAATTTTAACAACAGTGTTACTGCCATTTAGGCTAAGAAGTATTATTGAAGTGAAGCCTATGCTTACCCTAAATAATACGTACGCCCGCCCCTGTTTCTATGATAAATGAGAACAATATGAAACGATACACTTTATGGTTTATGAAAGTGCACCGATATGCTTAATACCATGCACAATTCAAATGGGAGAAAAGTTGGATTTATTTACAAAAATGCTACCGCATTTTTTTATTTATGCTTGTGCACTTTTCGGTTTCACGTAATGTACAATTTCTAAATTTAATGCTCTAGATTCATTAATCATATCTCTTCCTAGATGATATTCTAATTTGATCTTAAATATATACGTATACATTGTTGAAAATGCAGAGAGGATGAAAAGTAAAATTTATCCATCATATTATCATATACGAAGTATATACCTAACATACGTAGTATATACCTTTCTAAACAAAATTTTCTTCCAAAAAAACTTTCTAACAAATTTAAAAAAATATATGAAAGAAGGAGAATGCATGGTTTCACCAGTGCTTGCATTGGTCCCCTAACACCACACCTTTGAAAACGAAGAGTGAAAGTAGAGTTGATTAATATGTAAACAAATTAAATCACTATCAAAATTAAATTGATGGTGAAAATTTTGAACATGATGATACATTTTTTGTGCTATGTGCATACTACTAAGAAAGTAATACATTTTATTAATTAGAGTTGCATCTACTAATTGGAAAAAATGTAATTCTTGTATCAACAATAATACAGTAGATGCAAACATCTACAAATTAAAGTAATATGCTCTCATACCAACAATAATACATTAAATGCAAATCTTATTTAACAAAATTTTTCTTTTCATATTACTTTCTTAGTAAAACGATCTTTAAATACATCTTGATTATTTAATAAAATATAATCTTTCCAGTTTATAATGGTAATATATTAATTAAATAGTTGCTGTTGTAAAATAATCATAGTTAATTTTCAGCTTGTGGCCTGATCACACACCATCCGAAAATTGAAGGTCTTCGGATTCAAATCACATCCAAGTGAAGGGGGCATACTTGTTGAACAAATACTATAAAAAAGTTAGACAAATCACACACAAAAAAGGGTTGACATGATCATAATACAATGACTGTGTAGTGTTATTATAAACATTACACTTTCTTTTTGTCAAAATAATTAAAAAGGACTTACTCCTTATACACCTTTAATTTGTGGTGAGATACTTCCCCAAATCCTCACCTTAATTGCGGTGATGCCAATATCCACCTAATGTCATTTTATCCTTTCCACTTTGATTCCTTAATAAAACATTATTTTACATGTTGATTCACCATCAAATGAGATGCACACTTCCTTATTATTGACAATTCAATAATAATGTAGCTAATATCAAAATTTCGATCATCGTTTTTAATCAATAACAAAATAATCTTTCGATTCAAATCTTTATTAAAAGAATAAATAAATAAATAAATAAATAAATAAATAAATAAATAAATAAATAAATAAATAAATAAATAAATAAATAAATAAATAAATAAATAAATAAATAAATAAATAAATAAATAAATAAATAAATAAATAAATAAATAAATAAATAAATAAATAAATAAATAAATAAATAAATAAATAAATAAATAAATAAATAAATAAATAAATAAATAAATAAATAAATAAATAAATAAATAAATAAATAAATAAATAAATAAATAAATAAATAAATAAATAAATAAATAAATAAATAAATAAATAAATAAATAAATAAATAAATAAATAAATAAATAAATAAATAAATAAATAAATAAATAAATAAATAAATAAATAAATAAATAAATAAATAAATAAATAAATAAATAAATAAATAAATAAATAAATAAATAATAAATAAATAAATAAATAAATAAATAAATAAATAAATAAATAAATAAATAAATAAATAAATAAATAAATAAATAAATAAATAAATAAATAAATAAATAAATAAATAAATAAATAATTTATATTGATACCATAATATTTTTCATATTGATCCGTCAATATTCAAATTTATCCTTCCATGATGCTAATAATAATATCGTATTGTACACAATTGATAAAATTTATCAATCCCAATAAAAAAAAGTATAATATACAATTCTAACATTATATTAATTGCACATTTGCCGCATAATTGTGGGAGGACTAGCAACTCTACCATTTTAATTTACGTAATACAAAGATTACTATTGATGTAATTATACTACTACTAGTCGTCGTCTGTTACTATTACGGATTACTATTGTGGTTGTTGTTAATATTATCGTCGTCATCATTCCTTTGTCACTATTTATGTGTTTCATGTGTGGGGAATATATATTATCAAGAAAGATTTGTTCAGCTGTTAACCAATTAAGATCTTTACATTTTTTCTTTTTTATAATAATAGTTATCTATTGTTTTAATTGTAAAGCTTAGTTTTAAAAGGCTGACGTGTCATAACCTTATTCGATAAGAGAAGTTATATTAAAACTCCCATGTTAAAACATTTGATTTAAAATAACGAATGATGCAGTTAGAGTTGTAGTGGCTATGAAATAACATTTGCAATAACGTTTAATTAACGTTTTGTAATTAATCACTTACGTACGTTTGCAATACCATTTACGTAACTTCACAATCAAATCTAATTTTTAGTTCCACACATTTACGTTTCATTTACGTTTATTGCAATAACATGAATGGCTATAAAATTACATTTACGTGTAAACATCAATTGAAATTACATTTGCTATAAGATTTATGTAATGTAAAACGCAGCAAGAGAAAAAATAGGATAAAATTAAATGTGTATTAATAATTGGAGAAAAAGTTAGAGAAGAAGCTCAAGAAAGAAATGGAGAAAAATCTGTATAATATCAATCATATAGGACTCTAAAGTTTATCACTTCATCAAATAGGTACTCTTTAAATACTTATTCAATTGTTTAAATACATATTTTTAAACATTCACCTAAAATACATATTAGGTGTACGTATTTCTTAAGGGGTGTTTGAATCTGATTCTTAAAACTGCTTCTACTCCTTGAGGGAGCAGGAAATTGGAATGTTTGGTTGAAAGTGGAGAAGTGATTCTAGCTCTCTAATTTATTCCTAGAATCAGTTTTTAAGAAGTTGGGGTAGACCAACTTATGAAAACTGATTCCGATTTTACTTTAAAAAAGAATCAGAAATAGAATTAGTTCCAAATGCCCCTTAATTGCACCTAATAGGACTCTAAAGATGTGTTTACTTGGACAATTTTAAGTCGCAGACCAGACCAAACATAAACAAACTAGACCAAATCAAACCAGACTTAAATATACAAGACCAGACCAAACCAGACTTAAACGGACCAGACCAGACTTGACTTCCGTAGTTATAAAATACACAGACGTTTACCAGACCAGACCAGTTCAAACCAGACCAGGCTTACACAGACCAGACTAGACTGAAACAAACTAGCAAATTACAGTCCAAGTAAAATCATCTTAATACACGCATTACATACACATGAACATATATAGGTGATGATGATGATGATGATAGTAGTAGTAGTAATCATAATAGTAATAATAATAATAATAATAATCAGAATAATAATCGTAATAATAATACTCCGTATACACTATTAATTAATAATAATAGTAATAATACTACCGGGGCATGCATTGCCCGGGACTTTACACTAGTTGTAATTGAAATTAATGATAGACAAAAAAATTGGGACGGCTTTTTTTCAAATTAGGATCCTCAATCGCATTGCCTCTTCAATGACAATTATAAATTAACTCATAATTTGGTATTCTTATTTAATGTGAATTGTGATCCAAATTATGTTACCAAAGTGAGGACCATCAACACGTTTTCCTTCACATAATTTTACATATTATTGTATTATTACCACTACTGCTATACATACATTACTACTGTATATTTATAATTGTTAATTTTTTTGAATCTACTAACTATTGTTTTTATTATTATGATACAGATATGAGAAAACAATTTGGCTATCAAATTAGTATTTATGAGTCATAATTTTTACAAATACATAAATAAAATATTTTCAGTATATACACATTTGTGAAAATACTTTTCTAGGGACTTCAACATATTTAATTCTATTTTTAGTCTTTGTGCATGTTCTACTCTTACTTTGAACAATTTCTTTTTATTTAAACACTAAAGTTTAACTAATTTATTACTATCATGTTTTTTAAATTTATTGATAACGAAAAACTACTAATATAAAATTTTATGCATGGTTTGCATGTGTCTTTTGCAAAGACATGGCTGGAGTTAGTTTAAGTGAAACTCTAACTATAATTTGGATGTTTTTTTAATTAATCTAATACGTACCAATGCCACAAACCTAAACAAATTTCATAATTTTCAATTTTCACACTACCTATATGACTATTAATATTCACAATTATATACTATGAATTAACATAATAATAATCAATTTATCGTAAAGTATTTTTTATTATTCTTTAAAAGCTATTAATTAACACTTTAGGTAATTTATATACCTCACCTATTTCATCTATATACAATTCAAGTAAAAACAAATTGCTCTAGGAATAAAACATAGACATAGTCAAGCTTAAAATAAGAGTAATTAAGTGTGTTTTATTCCCTAAAAATGACTGATGAAACTAAATGAATAAAAATTTGCTTCAACAAACATGTTTGAAAATAAATTTATTTTGAGAAGAAAATAATGGTAGAACGAATGAATAATATAATACTTTTTTATACAGTATTTCACTCTTATTTAGAGAATGTTTAATTTTCTTAATTACAATAAATTCATTCACTCACTCCATGGATAACATACCTAGTGATGGCCTTATCAAGACCGGGGCCTTCATAGAGCCAACGATTTCGGTCAACTTCGCCCAGAAAATAGAGTTGTTGCTTGGCTGCAGCCACAAGGTCTAGGCTTATTACAATCTTCTGTGCCTCGTCCCACTCCAATTTCTGCTCCATCTCCATTCTCTAGCTGATCAGCTTCTTCCACCTACATAAGTACGAAAAGATTTCTACATATATAGTTGGTGAAGGTATATTATCTAGGTTTAAAGCAGAAGAAAGACAAGCCTTGAAACCCTTGTTAGCCAGCCAGGCAGCCACTTAATTAGCCTTAATTGAATGGTACGGAGTATGTAGTTAACAATCGATCTAAATCTAAATCTAAATCTAGTGTACATATATTCGTATGTAAATGCTTATTATCTATGAAAAATATGCCAAAATTTTAAAGAGAGAATTAACCTAATAGGACTAAAACTTGGAACAAATGCAAAAATAGGACTCCTATGTTTAAATTGCAAAACTAGGACTACAAATTACCTAATTGGACAACAATACCCTTACTGATTATCAATCCAGTACTTAACCGGTAGACTAGAATTGGCGATAATATTGCTGCATACATCTGATCGACTGGTCCGGTAGAAAATCCATAGCAGCGCATCGTCGAGCTATGAGGTGATCTCTTTTTCCTCTTTCCATTCTTCTTCCTTCTCCTTCTTTCTTCTTCTTCGTTCTTCTTCCTCATGTTCTTCTCATCTTCTTTTTCCAGATCCTTGTTTCTTCATTTTTCAATTTGTTTATTATTAATTCATTTACTATTTCAGATTATAAATCAAAATACTGCTTTGGATATGACAACTTGAGATAAAAACGACAATTCAACGAACAATCATGATCAGAAATATTTGGATTTGGGTTTTTATTACTTTTTTGGTTTTTGATTAGATATGTTTATGAAAAGACCATAAATGCTTGTTATTAGAAAAAATGTCACTTTTATGTCATTATATTATATCAAGATGTCAATATTTTAATGACATTTTTTTAACTGGATTGCCAAATTTTTTCATTTTTAACAATATTATTTCTGAAAACTCCATGATGATGGATGTTTCATATAAAAACATGACATTCTCTCATATCAAGTGGCATTCCTCAGGGAGGTCTGCACAGAGTCACTGGAGGGCAGATCTTTTGTCACTTTTATGTCGTCATTACAATATTTGGAAATGTCATATTGAGAATGTCATGTTTCTACATGAACAAAAACAGAAGTATGTATTTTTTTTACATTCAACCTATCCTTAAATGTCATATAAAAAATAAACATGTCAATTTTTAAAAAATGACATCTTGTTTATTGTGATGTTAAAATAATGTTAGAATTTTGGAATAGAAAGATGACAATTACATTTGTTAAAACATGTCATTTTTGAGCAGGTCAAAACTGACATCCTAACAAATGCAATACCATAAAAGTAGCATTATTTTTAAATGGCACTATTTTGTCAAACGGGCAAAAACATGACATTTCTTATATTTTAACTTCAAGGTGACCTTGTCATTTTAATGTATTTGTGACATTTTTCAATTCAATTTTAAATAGTTATGAAATTTTCAAATTCAAAAATAAAAAATAAATTAAAAATCCAATAAAAAAAAGTTCGAACACTCCAACCTTGTTCAATTCCCATCCCCTCCAACCTTATTTAATTGCCATCCAATTTATCAGATCTAATTGAATCCCAAGAGACAAAAACAGAGTACGGCCAACAAGGAAAGGAAAGAGAGGAGAAGAGAAGAGAAGAGAAGAGAAGAGAAGAGAAGAGAAGAGAAGAGAAGAGAAGGAGAAATTACTTGATTCCATGGGTAAAATTGTAGAAGGCTGGCGGAGATGGAGAAGACTGACGGTTGCTATGGCTACTGTACCAACGAACGGCAGATACGGCTGTGGTACCGACGAGCGACGACAGCAATGGAAGATTAGAAAACCACTGGAGAACTTGTCGATCATGAGCTGAGGTCTCTGATGAGGAAGGACACAACACCTCAGTCCCCAGATTGCTAATTTCTAATACGTGGGAGGCGGTGATGTCGGATTTAATTAGGGGAAAGGCAAAAATGTAATCTGGAGTCCTATTTGGGGATAAATAAACTTATACTCCTATTTTGGAGTTTAGTCAATGTTTTAATCCTGTTTTGGATAATTTCTTAATTTTAAATTTTGACCCACTTATGATAAAACTTTCGACCTCCACCCCTTTTACATACATACATTTAATTTAATTATGATGTCTGCCCCATAACTTTGATCTGATCAAGAAAGGGATCTACATGCACTATGGTTGTATGTGGTCGGTTGAATCTCAGTAGTATAGCTAAATTTTTTCTTAATTTTTTGGTGTAAATTATATTTTTCTATTTTTCTCATTTAGGCCACTTCGTGGTTAATGTAAATCTAGCATAATCATTTATAATTTCAGCGCAGCCAATATGAATTTATAAAACTCTAATGACAAGTAGATACTATATAATAGATTTAGAAGACTATAGTATCACTGTTGATATTATAATTTCGCTAAGTAATTTGTGGTCTGATGACATCACTGTTGATCTCTGAAAGAGGATGTCATATATTCGAGTCTCATCCCAATCAAGAATTTTGACATAATCATAAGTAAATATTAGAGAAAATTCCCTAAATAGGAGTAAAAATGTTTTGAAATTCCAAAATAGGAGTATCATCTTTTTTATTCCCTAAATAGAAGTAAATTTCTGCCAAGTTTGTAATTACAAGGCTTTTAATGTGGCATTTTTTTTCAAACTTGGCAGATTACTCCTATTCAGGAAATAAAAAACATGATACTCCTATTTTGGAATTTCAAAACGTTTTTGCTCCTATTTAGGATAATTTCTGTAAATATTATAATAGGTGATAACATTATAACAGCCCATCACCTGGATTTTGGCCTCTTGGCATCTGTATTGTGAAACTTCCATTAATAATATTATGATAAATGTTACCCGACATTTATCACACCTGTCATAGGTGATTTTCGGGGGGGGGAGTAAATATTATAATAGGCAGGGACGGACCGTAGTAGAGACCCAGGGGGGCAGTCGCCCCTCCAACAATTTTTTTTAGTGTATATATATACCAAACAATCATTTTCGCCCTCCCAAAAAATATTTTTTTTAAGTTATCGCCCTCCCAAGATAAACTTTCTGGGTCCGCCCCTGATAATAGGTTTAGAAGATTATGCAAAAAAAGCTCCAACTTCAATTTATTCGCATCCGCGGATGCAATTAATTGTAACTTTCTCATGAATTATACTAATTAACTCGACTACATAGATGATGAATGGATATATCATGGAGTATCAATACAAAAATTCATTTTATAGGTAGTTTTTTTGCCATTTGTTACCGAGGAGCAAGATGGGAATTAACTAATTAAGCTATGATCGATCAAAGAATTATAACAGGGAAACTTACTTATGGACTAGCGGAAATATATATAATGTTGGACAAATGATCGAGTATTCCTTGCTACTTTGCTAGGAAGCTAATTGTTGTGTTTCGCTATGCAAATTACATGAGATCGGCGTGCCAGGTATTTATAGCACTGGAATGTAAGAGCTGAGGCTCATCAGTAGGACTATATGGGGTTTGGTAAACAGTGCCATTTTCACTTGTGTCATCCTCTACGTCAAATACACGTATATTTTTAGTGTTTGGTAATCAATTTAATAATTCGGCTTTTTAGTAAATGATAAAATCGTGGTACTTTCACTCAACAGCCTTTTGATTTGATATTTTGATGTGAAAAAGTCAAAAATGAAAAAACCAATATACTTCCCCCATTTTACTTTATTCATTAATTATTTAATAAGCACTGTATTTGAAAATAAAAATAAAAAATGAAAAAACATATACTAATGACAGTGTAATATCAATGATAAATATATCAATATCAAATATTGTTGCTATTTTATACGAAGTAATACATAGTACAGAGTATTATTTAGAAACTAGTAATGTGTGTGTCAGTGTGTAAAATATTACTACGGGTAATACTAAATAAAAAAGGAAAAATTGATTGTAATAATCCTAACTATTGGTGGTCCGCTCATAATAATCTCAACTATTGATTATTTCAGAATAATCCCAACTTTAGGGACCTTCCGCCAATAATGGTCCCTATAAATAAATTCTTGTAGTTTCTTAAGTGAGTGAGATGAGATATAGCAAGTAATTCCTATAAATAATCTCAATGTTTAATTTTTACGCTTAATTTCAATTTAAAATTCACTTGTTATATGAGGTAATATCTGGTCATGGACCATTATTGGCGGACGGTCTATATAGTTGGGATTATACAAAAATAATCAATAGTTGGGATTATTGTCAGCGGACCGCCAATAGTTCGGATTATTATTTTCAATTTTTCCAATAAAAAAATTGTTTGTACCCGCCTCCTATTTTGCCTGTGTACACAGACAATTTGTTAAGAAGAAGACAACATTTATCTCTCAATTGACTATGTACACAGACAATTGTAAAAAAGTGGGTACAACAAGAAGGACTCATACTAAAAAAAAAGGATAGCACTCCATCCCTGAGGCCCCCCCAACACCGACCGGACGACACGATAAGATGATGTAAAATGGACTATAATCACAATCTGACAGATAGAGAGTGGGGCTCCGTCCCCGGGTACTTGCAGAGGCCCTCTGTTAAGTAACCTCTCATCGCAGTTGTAGGGAGTCGAACCAGGGACCTAACCCTTGTGACATTCCCTTACTATCAGTTGAACTACGCGGCTACGCCCACGGGCAGTTACTAAAAACAAACAAATATACTCCCTCCGTCCCGTTGGAATGTTCCTGGTTTGACCTACACACATATTAAGGAAATAAACTTACCAGGGGGTGAATTTATTGTTTTGACACTGTTTGGACACTGTTTGGCACTGTTTGCACTGTTTTGCACTGTTTTGATGTAGGATAACTTTCCATTTAGAAAAATGAGAACTTCTTTTTGGGACATCCAAAAAAAGAAAGCGGAAACATTCCAACGGGACGAAGGAGTATGTGACATCTGCGCTTTCGTGTATATAAGCCCTAAGCCTACATTTATAGCACTGGAATTTAAGAGGCTCGGTGACGAAGGAGTATGTGACATCTGCGCTTTCGTGTATATAAGCCCTAAGCCTACATTTATAGCACTGGAATTTAAGAGGCTCGGTAGGACTATATGGGGTCTGGTAAACAGTGCCATTTTCGCTTGTGTCATCCTCTACGTCAAATATATATTTTTAGTGTTTGGTAATCAATTTTATAATTCGGCTTTTACGGGGGTAGCCGTAAATGATAAATCATGGTACTTTCACTCAACAGCTTTTTGATTTGATATTTTGATGTGAAAAAAGTCAAAAATGAAAAAACCAACATACTTCCCCAATTTTACTTTATTCATTAATTATTTAATAAGTATTCGAAAATAAAAATAAAAATTGAAAAAACATATACTCGTACTAATGACAGTGTAATATCAATGATTAATATATCAATATCAAATAATGTTGCTATTTTACACTCCCTCCGTCCCTAAATAAACTTCCAACTTTCCTTTTTCGTCCGTCCCAATTAAAACTTCCACTTTCCTTTTTTGGCCAGAATTTGTGATTCACAGCAATTCTTACACATTTCTCTCTCCTCTGCACAACTCTCCACCACACAATACCCACTATCTTAAACTCTGTGCCAAACCTATTTGGAAGATATAATAGGGACGGAGGGAGTAATACGTAGTACGGTGTATTATTCAGAAACTAGTAATATATACTTGTAGAGTTTTTGTCACTTTTGGTCCCCCGACTTTAGTGTCAGTGACACTTTTGGTATTCAACTTTCAATTATTCCATTTTTAGTCCTCAACTATTGTGTGATAGACATTTTTAGTCCCCGACTTTAAAGTTTTCCACATTTAGTTCCTTAAGTAAATGGAAAATTTTAGTCTTTTCACTATGATATTGACACAATAAATGGAGGACTAAAAATGTCACTCTTATATTAGTTGAAAGACCAAAAATGTCACCTTTATGAAAGTCGGAAGACTAAATATGGAAAATTTCAAAGACGGAGACCAAAAGTGTTTTTCGCACAATAGTCGAAGAACTAAATGTGGAAAAGATCAAAGTCAAGTACCAAAAGAGTCAGTGACATAACAGTCGGAGGACATATGTGTGTTTTGTAAAATACTAGGTATTACGGAGTAATACTAAAAACAAACAAATATGTGTAACGTCTGCGCTTTCGTGTATATAAGCCCTAAGCCCCTAACTAAGCCTACATTTATAATTTATTCATACTACTTTTAGACTTTTAAAACTATGATTCTTTTTCAAGTGGACTATTCAATCTTGAAACAAGAAGTTATATGCGGTGTAGGCATTTTATTGATCTCATAAAGGAGCTATATATTCTATAGTTTCTAATAGATGGTAATCATTTTATATTCTAGGGTCGGATTTCAATGTCGGAGTGATCATCTTCCGAAAAAAAATGATGAAATTCGAAATATGTCGTGTAGGTATTTTATTGATCTCATATTCGAACTATACATTTGAACTAGTTGTTTTATGTAGGAAAAACTGTAAATAGTTTCCCGAATTTTCATAAAAAGGTCAATTAAGTCCTTCTATAAGAGGTTCTGTACGGCCGTCACGATTTGGGGAAGTTCCCGATGGAGTTTTTTGATGAAATTTTTTGAGCATCTTATTCACCAAGTCTAGTTTACTCATACCAAATTTCAGCTAAAAATTCAACCGGGAACACATTCAAATTAATTCTTGAAGATAACTGCGCATTTTTGCGTTCTCGAATTAATTTGAATGCGCTCCCGATTAAATTTTTAGCTAAAATTTGGTATGAGTAAACTAGACTTGATGAATAAGATGCTCTAAAAATTTCATCAAAAAATTCCACCGGGAACCGCCCCAAATCGCGATGACCGGATAGAGTCTCCTATACAAGGACTTAATTGACTTTTTTATGAAAGTTCGAGGACCTATTTGACAGTTTTCCCTTTTATGTATTCCTACTTGAAAACTTTGGTCTATTACTTCCTTCGCTCCACTAACATTGAGACATGATTGATTGAGAAGGTGTTGTGGTTGTTAAGGAAAGTGAATTTATGTGGTTGATATTCAATTGATAAAGTAAGAATATTTAAAAATGATTTAGAGCCACACAAATTTTAACAAATTTGGTATGAAACAATCCTAGTGGGACGGATCGAAAAAGAAAGATGTGACAATCTTAGGGCGACGGGGATCAGAGAGAATGACTTTGTTGTATGTATTTGAATTTGTTGGGATAGTGAGCTAAGTCCAATACTATCGGCCCGTTACACACGAGCATGGACCTGATCAGGCCGAAAACACAGTCCGGCTAAGGGAAATTGGATCGGGATTATTTAATTACTTATTGGGCCGGCTGGTCAATTAGCGTCAATATTGGTTCTTAAATTGGGCCAAGCCAACGTCGCATTTAATTAGTGAGCATGTTGTAAACGCCTAAAAATAGGCCATCAATCGCTTGTATTCATTATGCTACTTTCACTATACTGAAGTGATGCCACATTCTCTCTCAATCTATTTTCTACCAACAATGGTGCTTTCTCGATAGGAACTTTGAAGAGGAAGATTGTCATGCCCCGGACCGCCGCACAATCCGATCAAGGCAACCACAGTCTAGCTCACCCGAACCATGCAAGGCGTACATGAATATCATTCACATAAGTACATCCATAAACACTCATAAGTAAAGCACTTCAAAATACGCAGCGGAAAAAAATACTTTTAAAGTCAAAGGCCACACAGGGCAACATGAGCATGCAGGCTCTCAAATCATTTATAGTTTAAAAATAGTTTCCGTGAGCATCCTTTTATTTATATCAAAATAGAATCGGAAGAAGAACGAACCACGTCTTCTTTCCATAGATCACCCGAAGCAACGTGAACAGGAAACAAGCTTTAGCTTCTACCTGAAAACTGTGAGGTGGCATCCCCCTTGAAGAGGAGGTCAATACTTTGAAACATTTGAAAAGTACAATGACAACTATACGACATATAATTCATGTTTCAAACACACACTAGTAGGAAAATGAGATATTAAGACACTTTATATCGACTTGTAGAGGTGCTAAAAAGCGTCAGAAACACTTTTACCGACATTTGTAAAAGTGTTGGTTTTGCTTGTGTCGCTAGACCTTCTTACGACGCATGTCACGCCCAGACCGCATCTAAGCGCGTGTACAACCGCCGTATGATCAAGTGACATCACTCGCACGTCAACCTCACTTAATCATACAAGGCGTTCATGAACATCGTTCATATCATACTCAGTAATTAAACATACATAACAAAATCACATTATAGATTGAATGAATAGCGAAAATATTCAATAGTCAATCATGGGTCACATATGGAAAAACGTGGACTCGCAGGCCTAAAACAGAGTATTCATTACAAAAATATCCATGAGCATAGTTTATAGTTTCAAATAGTAAAGGAAGCACGAACCACGTCTTCCTTGAGATTCTCTTCACCTGTGTAAAGATGCAGGTAGCAAGCTCTAACTTCCACCATTTGTCATCTTTCCTGCTGTTTTTGCCTTTATGTACACCACCACCAGCATCATCCTTTGCTGATGTATTATCATAGAAGAACTCATTTTGATCCTTGAAGGTATCTAAGCAATCCTGTTGATTGGTTCTATATGCATCAGTATATATGTATTTCTGTATATATAGGTCACCCCGTGTCTAAGAATCCATTAAGGTGTGTTTGGATGAAGGGGTTTTGGAGAAAAAGGGTTTTAAGGGGTTAGAGTGAACGACTTGAAATGCACACTTGAAAGCAATGCTTGCTGCATTTATTGAAGTCATTACTATTGTAGTTTTTATACAGTTAAAATCCAGCTCTCTAAACAAAAAACACCAGCTTGATAGTTTCTACAAAATAGTTTGTCTTGAAAAGTGTTTTTGCTAAGCCATCCAAGATTACATAGTCTTTATATTGATTCTATCTCTATATTTGATATATTTTCTAAAAATGGTATAAAAAGTTTCAATCGCTTTTTATCTGTTTGTAGAAATATTCTATTTATAAAGAAATATCAGTATACAAAATAGAAACCTTATGAAGAGAGCAATGATTCTTACAATGAGCATCGAGTCTAACTTGCGGAGTGCTGGAATATTCATTTGGAGATCAGCTCTCTGCTTGGTTACCATAATCTGTCAAAAATGCATTCTTTGCCTTAAAAGAAATTACTGCAGAGTAAATTATCTTTTTTATGCACAAAGAAGATCATCTATATGTTCTGCTAAAAACATAATTTATTCAGTTCCGGAAAAAGAATAAAACTATTAATAATTACATTTTAGAATTAAATGAGTTCTACTTTTGTGAAATGTAGAAATGTGTTCCATTTTGCTCCTCTATGTGGAATTTCTCATCCCTTTGACCATCCATACTTGGCATTTAGTTTACGTAAACATTTGCATTAATTGTTTAAGAACTCTATAAAAATATATAAACCAAATACATAGGTGCAGAAGATGGTAAAGTACTATACCTCCAAGATTGTTCCATCTTTTGATGTTTGGTTAGAAGGAACAAATTCAACAATGTGATCAGTGACAGATAAAAGCCAATTGATTTCTTTTCTCCACCTCTCTTTCCTTTCTGCTGCCATTGGTTCTAATTTCTTTATTTCCCCAAAAACCGAAGCTGCAATTTTTTTAATCTTTTCGTTAATGAAAGCAAAAAAGAAAGAAAGCGCAAAGGTATGGCCAATGCATATATACCTGCTGTATTTGTGATCGCATTTGACAGCGCTAATGCAGACGAAACGCCCTTTCCGCCGCCTGACATATCCTCTCCAAGGAGCAATTTTGCAAACCTCTCCTTCATCAACTCCATGTCTAAAAGTTGATCAAGAACAACACAAAAGATGAGAAGTCAAAGGCAATGTAGTGACGTTAGGACACCGGATATTATGGTGTGCGTGACTCAGAAATGCAAAATATTTCAATTCCATAAATACATTTTGGGGGTGTTTGGATCTAATTCAGAGAGCACAAGCAGAAGTTGGAGTGTTTTGATGAAAGTACAGAAGTGATTCTGGTACTCTAATTTACTCCTAAGATCAGTTTTTTTAGAAGTTGGGGGAGACCAGCTTCTGAAAACTGATTATGATTCCGCTTCTACTTTAAAAAAGAAGCAGAAGCAGAATCAGTTTCAAACACCCCTAATACGGAGTAGTTAGTAAAATATTTATGGAAAGTTTAATGGAGTTAGAACTCTAAAACTACTACTTTGTACTCCTTATTAAACTATTCCGTCTCATTAACATTGAGACATGAGAAAATGACATAATTATTAAGAAAATTGGATATATGTAATTGATAAAGTAGAGTGATATAGAATCATACAAATTTTACCAAATTTGATATGAGACAATATTAGTGAGACGAATAAAAAAGAAAACATGAGATAATCAATTATAACGTCCTTAAAATTTTTGTAAGAAAAGTGTTTGCTAAAATTCCTCAATCAAGTATCTTTCTACAATTTTTTTTCCATCCTCTATATTACATATTGAGATTAGGTAGTAATAATAATAATATAATCGTTGTTTCATCTTTTTTCTTTGGTGAAATTATCAAATAAATGTAATTCATGATGAAATTATTTTGCAAAATCAAGACAAATGCCTCCTCGGATGAATTTGCAGCAATTAACTCCTCCCGCCGGTGAGGAAAGAAAGTGAACATTTTCTTTTGATTTATTGTCTTTTTTAAGGAGGTTTATTGGTTATCTCATCAGAATCAATATATATATATATATATATATATATATATAGAATAAAGATCAAATGAGAACATTGCTTAACGTGAGAACGTGAGAACACCACATTTACCCCAACGTGTTGCACAATGAAGCTTGTATATTGCACATTTTCACATTTTCACTATATTTACTAAAATGCCATCATGTTTATTTAATTTAGGCTAAACTCGAGCAAATTGAAAATGTGCAACAGAATAGCTCCATTGTGCACCATATTGATTTAAATGTGAGTGTTCTCACGTTCTCACGTTAAGCATCGTTCTCACTGGAACCGCACCCTATATATATATATATATATATATATATATATATATATATATATATATATATATATATATATATATATATATATAATAGGAACTTTTTAAGAGCATAGAAAGCGTCACATAATCCTACCATGTCATTATATTTAACAATTATTTAGTTATTATTATACGGTTATATCATTTATTTTTATTAAATTCTATTTTTTATTGCATATTGATATGTAAACAAAAGATTGTAGAAATCCACCTTATTTATTTTGGAGATATGCTCCGTATAACTTTTTTTTTTTTTGAAAGGATACTCCGTATAACTTACAATACTTATACATTAGAAAGGATCATAAGCAAACTATTTTAACATGTTAATTACGTAGTATGATGCCCAATTAAAAACAAAAGTGCAATCATATTTAGAAAAATACTATCTCTATTCCTCTTGAAATTGTCATTGATTAGATAAAGTGTAAAATAAGAATGAATTATACTTTGTACGTAGCAAAAAAATATCATGCGAAGTAGAAATAATAATATGCCATAAACTTAATCATATATATATATATATATATATATATATATATATATATATATATATATATATATATATATATATATATATATATATATATATATATATATATAAGAGGAACTTTTTAAAAGCATAGAAAGTGTCACATAATCCTGTCATGTCATTATATATAACAATTATTTAGTTATTATTATACCTTTTATTTTTATTAGATTCTATTTATGATTGCATATTGATACGGAAACAAAAGATCATAGAAATCCACCTATTTATTTTGGAAACAAAATACTTCATTTTTTTCACACCTTCATACCATTCTTTCTTAATTATTAACACAATGATAAAAAATCTAACCACCATGCGGTTGAGATTAAAAAACAAAATTAATACTATTATATATTCAAATATAGAATCTTTTAAAAAAGATATAACTGGTCAAGTAGCTTACCTTATTTAATAAGAATAAACATTGATACCATCCACACACACACATATTCACAAGTAAATACGTTTAGTCTAGCCAAAAATTCTTTATTTTTACAACTAAAATTTAAATATGATTTTACATTTGAAATAGACTCCTGATCCAAATTAGGAAATCTTTGTATGTTTACAAATTCCTAATTTGACTCAATATAATGTTTTTAATTCGATTGATTTCAGTTCCAGACTAAATTAGACCAGATCAAACTTTAATAATAATAATAATAATAATAATAATAATAATAATAATAATAATAATAATAATAATAATAATAATAATAATAATAATAATAATAATAATAATAATAATAATAATAATAATAATAATAATAATAATAATAATAATAATAATAATAATAATAATAATAATAATAATAATAATAATAATAATAATAATAATAATAATAGTAATAACAATAATAGTAATAATAAGTCACATAAATTGTAAAACATATCATACTAATTCAAAGAAATCAAACCCCAAACTTTAATTTACCAGACCTTATTAGTGAGTAAAATGTAAGATCTCACTATTAAAATTTAAAAATATGTGTCTCACACCAAGTTGAATGAGAAATATTAGAAACATATTATTTTTAAATGCTTGATGAAATAATTTAGACGTTCATAACAATTAAAAATCGTTTTCAATGTAACGAAATAATGAGTCAATTGTATAAAAATTCTCCATTTTTTTACATTTATTACAATGTGACGAAATAATGCGTAAAATGTAACATTTTATTATTAAAAGTTAAGAGCATGTACGTATTTCATACTAAGTTGAGAGAAAAATTTGAGGTGCATAATAAACTAATTTAGAAGCTGTGAGATTATGAAATCCTTAAAGTCGGGTTCAAAATAGTTATTATGTTTACTTGAGATTGCTTATGTAGAAGATCATTTTAACTATTTTTCATGTAATTTTTTCTTTATTTTACAAATGGAATATACTTTACATATTTGTTTTCATGATTCGGGAAATTCCACCTACTCAGCCCATTCAGTTAGAATTTAATCAATTTCAACAAAATAAGCCAATTCGACTAATTTTAGTATTATCAAACAGGTTCTATATTAGACTGAGTTTATTTTGCTTTTGCATCACATTATATATGATCCCAAAAAAAGTCAAATTTAAAATGAGCTAAATTACCTACCGCCGTGCATCGCACGGGCTTGAAAACTAGTAGTACTCTAAATGCACTTGGATATATTTACGTTGGTACTTTCTCAAGTGTGATAGAGTGTTAGCAGAATAAACCACAAGAATGTATTTAGCCTGAGAGAGCGTTTGGTTCTTTGCATGTTAAAAGTTTACATGTAAAGTGATTGCATGTAAAGTGTAGGGATACAATTATTTTACATGTAAAATTAAAATACATTGTTTGGAAAAGTATGTGATCAATTTTAAAAATAGATGCAAAATAAATACATTCTTTTAACTCAAACAACATATTCAGTATTCACACGTAGATGGAACTTAATCTATCATATCAAATCATGAAATCATGAAACGAGAGGCCAACATTTTTTTTGCTCCAATAAACAATAATCGGGGTGCTGTTTTTAATCGTAAACCCATTGGAGTGAAAAAATTATTTTAAACGTCCGTGTGTCCATATCAGCTCCATAGACCGTCTACATGTGTGATGTGTCCATATTTTATGAAGTAGAATCCACATTACCACTAAAGATGCTCTAATCGTATATATTTGCGATTCTCTCATCCTAGATACGAGAGGAAAGTGATTAAAGCGATAAAATTGTGAAGCCCACTTTTTTTTGCCGCCGATCGTAGAAAGATGGAGTTTGATGTATTTTATAATCCGTACTAGAATTTCACCCGTGCGTTGCACGGGATGTATTTTTCTTATTATTGATTTTTGAAAATTGATATACAAACATGACTGAAATAATGAAGTTTTAACAATATAGTTGTGATACATGAGAAATATTTCAAATTATTGGATAACAAGTTTTAACAGAGTCCCTGGTATGATCATCTCATAGCTGAGCACTCAATGAGGCTAAAATGTGAATGAGAACTTTATGTCATTCATTTGTTCATGACATCACATGAATATCAAAACCATACACATAATATATGTTAATCTCAGTATTTGAATTTTTAGAAAAATGGACATACTTAATCCATTACATTGCACATTTTTTAACGTGACAAAAATAGGTAGGCTACACTTCCATTTGAACACTTTGACATTGTATTCAATATTTTACTATTAAACAGAGTCAGAAGACTAAAAGATACGGAGTAGTTTCATTCATATACGTAGTACATGATTATATATCCCTGTTTTCACCTACAAACTGGACACATTCATTAGGCCGTAAGGAAGATTACAATTAGTTAGGATTCATTGTTAAGTTTGCATGAGTACACATGATCACTTGAACATCTCCAAGAGCAGGCTGACACAAAAGGAACATGTAACACTTTGTAGTTGGCAAATGTTCAGTTCGTGTGTGTTACAGGCCCAAGTTCAAGATCGTGTCACAGGGCGGTTTGAGGGAGGCCGTTAACGATGTTGGTAGGTCCTACCAAGGAATGTATCA